TGGGGCTGCGCAGGGACAGCCCCTCTGTTGCAGGTCAGCATCTGGGCCGTGCTGGTGAGCCCACGCGGCCCTGCCCCAAGGTGACCTTTACGTGGCGAGAAGGGGTGAGTAAGGCGTTGCTTCGCTCTGACCGAAACCACAGCGAAGGGACGGAGACTCCTCTGTATGGGGTCAGATTTGTGGAGAGCGCCTGTTGCTCTTTTCAGACATGGTCTTGGCACATCGCCAACTTCAGGCTGTGTGGATTCACCTGGATTGCACAGGTGTGTGAAATGGGGGAATAAGAATTTTGGCCTCTTAACTTTTCCTACCTGAATATCTTTTTTGGCATGAAAAATCTTAAATTTTACTTACTTTATCATGTAGCATTGTGGAAAAAGAAGCATTAGGATCTTAAAGTATTTTTTGCTTAAATTCAATCACTCTACAGACCAGAATAATTCATGGGCCGAAAACCACGTTCTCTTCTCACCAGAGCTTTCCTGCTCCCTCTTTCTTGGCCATTCGGAATGTAAGTTCCTCTCAAAACTTTCCCTTCAAGAATCTCTCTTACCAGATGAGGTCCCACGCCCATCCCCTGCTTTGGCTCCTGTTCTCTCCGCACACCTTGTGGGCCGACATTTAGCCAGCTGCTGAGGGTGGTTCATAGATTGGGAACACATTCAGAAGCTGCAGGTTTTGAGAAAGGTGAGGTATGAAGGAGTTCTGGAAAATGTTTTTTGTTTGCACTTGGTGTTGCAGAATCTCCGTGATTTCATTATCCCATGAAATGTGTACTATCTTGAGAATGTTGCCACTTCTTGCCCTCAGTGATTTGTTGAGGTGTTAAAAAAGAAAACACCCTCGGACCTCCCTGGTTGTGGAAGGGTTCTCAGTGCTATCAAGCTCTCACCAGCCACTGCACCAGGAGTTCGATCCCTGGCCAGGGAGCTGACCCATGTGGTACGGCAGACCTCTCCTGTCTCTCTTCTGCTCCCCACTCTGTCTCTGGTGAATTCTCTCACCCCCTGCATCTCTGGCCTACATCCCAGTTACTGTGTGCATAAATAAATAAATCTTTAAACAAGAAAAGAACATACCCTCTCCTGGCTTCCAGTTAAGGGACCCTGTGAAGAGCTGGTTCTTTGGTTAATCAAATCACATAAACCCTGTTAGCCTGTGACAGGTTCTAAAAAGCTCTGAGATGTTTGTATTATTTTAGTGCACTATATATTTGTGACAAAGAATTGAAAATACTCTATTTTCCTCTCTGAAGTGGTTGAATTATGGTATAAAGTGTGAAATGAAATATTAGGTCCCGTGTTTTGTTTTTGATACTAGTAGGTCTGTGGCTCAAAGATAAAAGGAGTCACTGTTTTAAGGGCTGTCTTTTCCCGTGCTGGAATGCGTCAGCTTTGAGGACTGTGTTGGCAGGTGGTTGGTACACATTCCGACGCTGCTCTTCCAGCATGTTCGTCGTGCCGAGGGCACCCGTTTCTATCAGACGACAGTACTGCAGACCTCCCTGGTCTTGGGCCTTTCCCACCTGCTACTTGATCTTCCTCTGTGGCCCCACATCATTACATTTTGTGACTCAACAATTTTTTTACCCACCTCTTAGAAAAGCTGAACGTGTTTGTGACCAAGCACTTAAGGTTATTTCCTTTAACTGAGTGTTTGAGACGTTTTTAGATTTATAACAGTCTTTGTTTACCGTGTAATTCAGTCCAATGGAGGAACTAGTAAAACTGCATTATCCGACATCAAAGACAAGCGTGTAAGAAGAGTGTACTTACACCAGGGAACTATTAGGTTTCTAGCAAGTGGAGTTACCAGGTGTCCAAAATTTAACCACTCCCATGCCACCTAATCTTTATATTTTGTAGCTTTTTTAGTTTAGTCAGCTAGCAGCAATGTAGATTTAAAATAACCAATGACTACATTATTCTTTTTTTTAAAGATTTATTTTTTATGCATACAAAATTGGGGTACAGGGCAGAGGTGCAGGGGCAGTGGAAGGATTCACAGACACAGAGTGGGGAGCAGAACAGGAGGATCTACTGAGGGGAGCAGAAGGGACACAGGAGAGGTCTGCTGTGCCAATTGGACCACCTCCAGGGCTGGGGATCGAACTCAGCACTGAGGCGGTGATGTGTCCTCATTCGTTGCGCCACGAGGGAGGGCCCACCAGTTACTACATTCTTGAGAGTTGAGAGCACTGTTTCCTTCAGCATCCTCCAGATAAGTCAGACTGACTTGCAGACTAAGTGGACTGTCATGCCATGAAAAAGTAAAGCGTAACTAAACTAGGTGTTGAAATGGCTGATCCATTTTAATTTAGTTCAGAATCCAACTGGTCACATGGTTTCTTGAGGGCAAAGACAAGCAGGTTGGTGTTTTGTTTCCTGAGATCTGTGGTGAGGTGGACTTGACCCACTGTGCAGAGTGAGTGGGGTGATTGCCAGCTACACGCAGCAGTCCCTTGAAGGGGGGCCCTTGTCACCAGGGCACATCTCATGGCTTTGTGTCCTGTCAGACCCTGGGACGAGGGCTTGTCAGGTAAAGGCTGTCTTGTGAGCACACCAGTGTCCCTGAGCCTCACCCGTGTTCTTCTCTGAGGCACTGCCACCACCCAGTTCTCCACGTGCGCTGCTGTGTCAAAGCACTTGATTTTGGGCGTATTTTGGAGGCTGTGTGTAAACATGCTTGACATATTCATGACCATCTTACAATCTTATTAGGTCAGCAGTCATCCAAGTAAGTGGAGAATGGGGAAGTCCTGTTCTTCCTCTTTCCCACAGAGATCTCACTTGCTTGCAAAGCCTGGAGCGGGTCTGAATGCCCTGAATATATCAGGAATGCATTGCCTACAGCTGAATTTTCTCTTTTGAAACTGTTAAACAATTTTTAAGTAAATACCTGGCCCTGCTAGGTTTAACTTCCTGGGTTATCAAGGGGAGATGCGGGTGTGCGGGAAGGTTAGTGACCTTTGAGCTGATGTCTTGGGACAACTGCTGCCCTCCCTCTGCCCTGGTTCAGACAGACTCACCCGTGGTGACTGGCACTGCATTTCTTCTGAGACATACTCACAAGAACATGAAACTGGCCATGGGAGGTTCTGCCGGGGCATTAATGAGATGCAGGAGCAAATTGCCCTGGTTGTTTATTGTAAGCTTTCCCTTTGTGACTATCTGGGAGACTGTTGACTTGGCTGCAGGCTCAGCAGTGCTGCTGTCTGCGCCGTAATTGGCTGTGGTGTGGCCCAGGCCACACCATTTAGGTAGAAGAGGCTAAAGGCTACATACTGTACATACATACTTTCTGCTGAAAGGTATAGAAAGAATTTGTAAGGCATCATGACATTTCATTGCTTCAACTAGACAAACTTCTTGAGGTCTTTAAATGTCACCTTTCAGCCACCACCTGAGGGTTCCTGTCAGTCTTTGGGAAGGAATCCAGGCTCTTGTAAAGCGGCTAGCTTTTCCTTCTCACTTTGCCTCCCCACACCTACTGTACTTCAGCTGGTTTCCAGTGGACCACGCTGCTTTTGGCAAGGGAGGACTCTTGCCTGTTCCATCCCGTCGCCCAGGTCTCCCCAGGAATGGCACTTCCCCCATGGGGGCTGTTACTAAATCAGAAAGGCCAGTTATCCCCTGGGGCCTCTTCTCCGCGTCCTCCCTTCTCAGTGACTGTCTGTGGTGTGCGCTGTGACGTGGGCTGAGGACACAGGCGTGTACAAGACGGGGTGGGCCATGTCGTCCCAGAGCTCCTGTCCTGCTGGGAAACCATTCGATAGTCACAGTCCTTAAAAAACAAACAAACTAATTTGGGAGTAAAGGCAATATAGGAAGTCACAGAAAGTTAAATAACATGAAGGACTGTCTCTATGTACCCTGGGCAGAGTTTACCCATTGTTAACAGTTCCCCTCATTTGCATTCTCTAGATAGACAGGTAGGTAAAGATAGATCATTTTGTTAGGACTCTTCCCCAAAATCCCGAAGTGTGTATTTCCCTAAGACGCCCAGAACGTTCTCTCACATGACAGCCTCAACTACATAAATTTAAATTGATAAAATACTTGGATCTACTACTCTGCTCATAGTTTAGTGTTGGTAGTTGATGTAGTGTCCTGTATAGCTCTCCTTTCACCCCAACACAGAATTCAGTCTTCCATCAGATAGTTGCTTTTAGTTAGGATGTCCTGTAGCTTACCTTAATCTGGAGTGTTTACCTAGCCATTCTTTATCTGTTATGCTTTTATTTTTCTTTTTTGAAAGATAACAGTGCACAGACACCGTCTTTTGCATAGTCTTTCACATGTTGAGTTTGTCTGCTGCTTCCTTACAGTCCGGCTGAGCTGTAGTGTGCTCGGGACCGTCACAGCGTGGTGAGCGCGTAACTCCGGGGCAGCGTGTTGGGGGCCCCTAACATCCGTCTGATCCTTTTGAAGATTTTTATTACCCAGTCACAGTGTTTCCAGCTTCTCTCCTGTATATATAATTAATGTTTTTTTCTTTCTTCCCATTGCAACTAATCAGTAGGCTACCAGGGAAGCCCTTAGTTCCATGCATACAGCCTGCTTCTCATCAAAATTTCCCCACAGATTTAGCATCAAGGGATGATTCTTAACCTGATCCAACAGTACGAACTCAACTCCCTATTTTGCAGTGGGTTATAATTCATTACAGTGCCTATTATTTTGGTTTTCAAACCAACTGAGTGGCCATGGAAGCCCCGTGAAGCGACTCCTCTGTCCTGTGAGGTGCGTCTTCCTGTTGCCCAGCACTTCTTTCTTGCTCAATACCATGTTCTTGGCACACCTGCCTTCCTCTGAGTTATTCATATCTGCCTGAGGACACTTACTCGCTCTTCTGTCTTCACACCCAGCACATTCAAAATTTACTATAAGTATTTGTTGAGTAAGAAAATTGATCTTTGCTATGTAGTTCAGTGTTCAAAATCAGATTCTCTAGTATTATGATGTAATGTATTTTCTTTTCCTTCCATCTTTTTAGGAAGAAATGTTGGCTATTTGGCGATGAGGAGAGTCAAAAATTGACTTCATTCTGGTGTACAGACACTACGGGACTGGACCTTCTGCTTCATGGGCTGCCGGCCTCCACTGATAATGCCAGAAAGCCTTTGTGTCTGCTGGAAAACACTGATCTGATCTTGGAAGTGGCTGGTCGTGGCAGGATGTGTCGACGATGATGATGGCAAGAAAGCAAGATGTCCGCATTCCCACCTACAACATCAGTGTGGTGGGATTGTCCGGGACAGAGAAGGAGAAAGGCCAGTGCGGCATTGGGAAGTCTTGTCTGTGCAACCGCTTTGTGCGTCCGAGCGCTGATGAATTTTACTTGGACCACACCTCCGTCCTCAGCACCAGCGACTTTGGGGGGCGAGTGGTCAATAATGACCACTTTCTCTACTGGGGAGAAGTTAGCCGATCCTTGGAGGATTGTGTGGAATGTAGGATGCACATTGTGGAGCAGACTGAATTCATCGACGATCAGACGTTCCAGCCTCATCGAAGTACAGCCCTGCAGCCCTACATCAAGAGAGCCGCTGCTACCAAGCTCGCGTCAGCTGAGAAACTCATGTACTTTTGCACTGACCAGCTGGGGCTGGAGCAGGACTTTGAGCAGAAACAGATGCCGGATGGAAAGCTGCTAGTCGATGGTTTTCTGCTTGGTATTGATGTCAGTAGGGGCATGAATAGGAACTTTGATGACCAGCTCAAGTTTGTCTCCAATCTCTACAATCAGCTTGCAAAAACAAAAAAGCCCATAGTGGTGGTCTTGACTAAGTGTGATGAGGGTGTTGAGCGGTACATTAGAGATGCACATACTTTCGCCTTAAGCAAAAAGAACCTCCAGGTTGTGGAGACCTCAGCGAGATCCAATGTAAATGTGGACTTGGCTTTCAGCACCTTAGTGCAGCTCATAGATAAAAGTCGGGGAAAGACAAAAATCATTCCCTACTTCGAAGCACTGAAGCAGCAGAGTCAGCAGATAGCCACAGCCAAGGACAAGTACGAGTGGCTGGTGAGTCGCATCGTGAAAAACCACAATGAGAACTGGTTGAGTGTCAACCGGAAGATGCAGACCTCTCCCGAGTACCAGGATTACGTCTACCTGGAGGGGACGCAGAAAGCCAAGAAGCTGTTTCTCCAGCACATCCACCGCCTCAAGCAGGAGCACATTGACCGCAGAAGGAAGTTCTACCTGGCAGCCCTGCCCTTAGCCTTCGAAGCGCTCATCCCCAACCTCGATGAAATAGACCACCTCAGCTGCATAAAAGCCAAAAAGCTCTTGGAGACCAAGCCAGAGTTCTTGAAGTGGTTTGTTGTGCTTGAAGAGACACCATGGGACGCCACCAGCCACATCGACAACATGGAGAACGAGCGGATTCCCTTCGACTTGCTGGAGACCTTCCCCGCAGAGCAGGTGTATGAGAGCCACCTCGAGAAGCTGCGCAGCGAGAGGAAGCGAGCCGAGATGAGAAGGGCGTTCAAAGGAAACCTGGAAACCTCTCCTTTCATAACTCCTGGAAAGCCGTGGGAAGAGGCCCGTAGTTTCATTATGAATGAAGATTTCTACCAGTGGCTGGAAGAAGCTGTGTACATGGATATTTACGGTAAACACCAAAAGCAAATTATAGACAAGGCAAAGGAAGAGTTTCAGGAACTGCTTTTGGAATATTCAGAGTTATTCTACGAGCTGGAGCTGGATGCTAAGCCCAGCAAGGAGAAGATGGGCGTCATTCAGGACGTCCTGGGGGAGGAGCAGCGATTCAAAGCCCTGCAGAAGCTCCAGGCAGAGCGCGATGCCCTCATTCTGAAGCACATTCACTTCGTGTACCACCCAACCAAGGAAACCTGCCCCAGCTGCCCCGCGTGTGTGGACGCCAAGATCGAGCATTTGGTTGGTTCTCGCTTCAGCCGACCGTCTGAGCGGAATCAGAAAAATTCCCTCTCTGACCCTAATATAGATAGAATCAATTTGGTTATCTTGGGCAAAGATGGCCTTGCCCGCGAGCTGGCCAATGAGATTCGAGCCCTGTGTACAAACGATGACAAGTATGTGATAGATGGTAAGATGTATGAGCTCTCCCTCAGGCCAATAGAAGGGAACGTCAGGCTTCCTGTGAACTCTTTCCAGACGCCAACGTTTCAGCCTCATGGCTGTCTCTGCCTTTACAACTCCAAGGAGTCTCTGTGCTACGTGGTGGAGAGCGTAGAGAAGAGCAGGGAGTCCACACTCGGCAGGCGAGATCATCATTTAGTCCATCTGCCCCTGACGCTAATTTTGGTTAACAAGAGAGGAGACACGAGTGGGGAGACCCTGCACAGCCTGATTCAGCAGGGTCAACAGATTGCCAGCAAGCTCCAGTGTGTGTTTCTTGACCCTGCCTCGGCTGGCATTGGTTACGGACGCAACATAAACGAAAAGCAAATCAGTCAAGTTTTGAAAGGACTCCTGGACTCAAAGCGCAACCTGAACCTGGTCAGTTCTACTACTAGCATCAAAGACCTGGCCGATGTTGACCTGCGAATCGTCATGTGTCTGATGTGCGGAGACCCTTTCAGTGCAGATGACGTGCTCTTTCCTGTCCTTCAGTCCCAAACCTGCAAGTCTGCCCACTGTGGAGGCAGCAACTCTGTTTTACTTGAACTGCCAATCGGGCTGCACAAGAAGCGCATCGAGCTGTCTGTCCTTTCGTACCATTCCTCATTCAGCATCCGCAAAAGCCGGTTGGTCCATGGGTACATTGTTTTTTACTCAGCCAAACGTAAGGCCTCCTTGGCTATGTTACGTGCCTTTCTTTGTGAAGTGCAAGATATTATCCCTGTTCAGCTGGTGGCACTCACAGACGGCGCTGTGGATGTCCTGGACAACGACTTAAGTCGGGAGCAGCTGACTGAGGGGGAGGAGATTGCTCAAGAAATTGACGGAAGGTTCACAAGCATCCCCTGTAGCCAACCCCAGCACAAACTCGAGATCTTCCACCCGTTTTTCAAAGATGTGGTGGACAAAAAGAACATCATCGAGGCCACTCACATGTACGACAATGTCGCCGAGGCCTGCAGCACCACGGAAGAGGTGTTCAACTCCCCCCGGGCAGGCTCCCCGCTCTGCAACTCAAACCTGCAGGATTCGGAAGAGGATATCGAGCCGCCGTCCTACAGCCTGTTTCGAGAAGACACATCACTGCCCTCTCTCTCCAAAGACCATTCTAAGCTCTCGATGGAGCTGGAGGGAAACGACGGGCTGTCATACATCATGAGCAATTTCGAGAGTAAACTGAACAACAAAGTACCTCCACCGGTCAAGCCAAAGCCGCCCGTTCACTTTGACGTCACAAAGGGGGACCTCCCTTACTTGGATCAGGGCCACAGGGACGGGCAGAGGAAGTCTGTGTCTTCTAGCACCTGGCTGCCTCCAGACGGGTTCGATCCTTCAGATTACGCCGAACCCATTGATGCTGTTGTCAAGCCCAGGAACGAAGAAGAAAACATATACTCGGTGCCCCACGACAGTACCCAGGGGAAAATCATCACCATCCGGAATATCAACAAAGCCCAGTCCAATGGCAGCGGGAACGGTTCTGACAGTGAAATGGACACCAGCTCTCTGGAGCGAGGCCGAAAAGTGTCCATCGTGAGTAAGCCAGTGCTGTACAGGACGAGATGCAGCCGGCTGGGGCGGTTTGCTAGTTACCGAACCAGCTTCAGCGTGGGGAGTGATGATGAACTAGGGCCCATCCGGAAGAAAGAGGAGGATCAGGCATCCCAGGGCTACAAGGGGGACAGTGCCGTCATTCCGTACGAGACAGACGAAGACCCAAGGAGGAGGAACATTCTTCGGAGTTTGAGAAGGAACACTAAGGTGAGACCAGTTAGGAGTGAGTCTGGGGTGGCTCACAGTCTGGGTGTGGTTTGATTGATGAAAACTGATTTCCGAGGACAGCTTGTCTTGCTAGAAAATAGCTGTGTGTGTGTGTGTTGTCTATGAGCTTGCTCTTTGTTTGAGCATAGAAAAGCAAGCACTGTCTCATCGCTGTTGCTCGTGGCTCTCAAGTAATAAGGACGTCGGGTAGAGAGCCTGAGTTGCCTTTGTCCAAGACAATAGTTAATTACCACAGTGAGCGGATCCTGTGGAACTTGTCAGTATCCTGACAGGCTGCCAAGCTGGCGACTACGGAGATGCCCTTCTTCCCGTAGCGACCACAATCAGGCAGCTCTCCTTCCAAGACGGCCGTCTGAGTCTGTGCGGCCACTCAGCACCCCGCCCGTCCCAGTGCAGGTACCTCTCTCTCTCCTTTTCCTAATAAACCTGTCTCTTTAGAATGTAAAAAGTAAATAGTCACACAGCTCGGTCTCTTTCTGCTAACAAACATACCATCTGTGACTGTTCCCATGCCTTTAAACGCACCTTCTTCCCTTGCTAATCTGCAAAGGTTGCATTTTCAATCGGGAGATATTGGGTGATTCTTTTATTTGCACACACAAATCAATGAAGGGGCCTCAAGTACTTAAATGAAAACTTAAGTTCGTCAGCACTGTCCCCATTTGTGAAGTTGTGCGATCCAGCTCATTCTAAGTGACTCACTGCACCGCGACTATCAGTGAGAGCTCCAGGTTTTATTTCAGGGCCACGAGTGGAGCAGGGAAGGGAGGCGAAAGTAGAAGCCCCCCACCCTCCGTCACGCCCCTCTGATGCAGAGGAAACGGCCCGTACGCGGTGGCCAGCCAGTCTTCTCTGACTCGCCAGCAGCCTGCTGCAGGCGGGGCAGCCGCCCTTGTGCTCAGACTTTGAGATGGAGCCATCTCCCCCCACCTCTTTGTTTCCTATTCAGCGTATACGGAAATACTCTGTCTTGTAGAGGCAGACGCTCAGTGAAACTGCGTACCAGATCAGTGTGGCGTGCTGACTCCACATCAGCGGGACACGCAGGGTGATCTCTCGCCTGGAAGCTTTTGATCCTTTCCCTCCTGGGAGCTGTGGAAGACAAAGTTACTTGTATGGAAGCAGTTCGGGAGCTTTGTAAAGAAGAGCGTACCTTTGTAAAAGGACATATGTTGACACACGACTTAGTGATTTGAGGGATGTAGAATACAGGCTATTTTGAGAGCTGGCAGTTCTGTTGTAAAGTAGCACCTGGAGGCTGTCCTTCAGCTCTTACTGGCCAGGAGGCCTCTGGAGACTGAGGAGCGCGGTGCCAGGACCATTTGTTTCCTGTGGGCGTGTGGAGCGTCCCTCAGTGACCAGTGGCCAGGAGCTTCCAGACTTTTCTTACTGTGCAGTCAGCAAGGGCAGGGCACTTTCCTGCGCTCAGTGCCCCCTCCCCGTGCAGGGTGTTAGTGCACTTCGCAGGGCCGTCTTCTGTTCCAGTTCCCCTGGGTTTGCTTTCCACTTGGATTCTTCATCTGCCGCAGCATCTTGTCCTCCAGAGGCAGGTGGGAGCAGACCCCTGGACAACAGTTGGGTCATGGAAGCCAGAGAACAGCCTGCCCTGCTTCCAGCATTTCCCCAAAGATCTCTTGTTTAACGAAATTGGAATCCAAACATTTTGAACATTTTGACTTCTCTTCCTCCTCCACTCGCAGTGCAGGCTGCTGCCAGCACAGCTTAGTGAAATGCTGACAGTCTTCTGATTCGTGGGGGTGTTCGCACACCTAGGGATTAGGAAGGTGGTATAATAGCACACCGTGAGCTAGAGCTAGTTTTCTGACTTCTAGCTGGAAATAATGCTTTTAAAGCATTCCTGATCAAGGCGTGCTTTAGAGAGCATGCACTGTGGGCTCAGCAAAAACAGCTGGCTCCGCTGAGCCCTGAGCCTGGGCACCCATGCTGGTGCCCGGCACTTCCTACTGGGGCCCTCCCGCGCCCTGGCCAGCTCGCCGCAAGAGTGATTGTGCGGCTGCCCTCTTCAGGTCACGGTAAAACGACCCCTCTGGCCCAAGAGCAGTAGCGTGCCAGAATCTGGGTAGGAGTGTCCTTTGGGGAGAGTGAACAGGAGCATCTCTTTTCCTGCCTTGGAAAGTGGTGCTGTGGAATGAGCGTAGCGGCTTCGCCATCCTGCAGGGCAAGCGAAGCCTTCCTCTTCTGCCTGCAGCAATCCCCTCTTGAGACCGCTGCCCTTGAAGACACACACTGACACCTGCCTTACTGGAAAGGCAAGCTGCCCCGGGCAGAGAGTGCAAGCCTGCCCCTACGTGGGCACCTGGGCTTGGGTTTTTGTTAGCATGACAAAGCAATACAGGTTTATTTGAAGGGAGAGGGGAGCCAGTTGGTAATGGTGAATACACTCAGGGCTTCCTGAGTGGCAGACACCTCTAGGGAAGTAGCTGGACTCTCCTTGCCCAGACCTTAGTGCTCATGTGAAGCCACTGATGAATACCGGTGGTCGGCCCTCGGTGGGCTGTGCCAGGGCAGAGCAGATGGCTCCTGGTCTCCCCCAGGGTGGTGACGGTAGGATGGGGTGCAGTGATGAGGAGCTCAGATGGGATCGGGGCCATGGCCAAGGGTCAGCTCCCTCCCGTTCACCCCTCTCCCGCCCCACTGTGAAGGGGAGTGGGCATGAGGAGCAGTGAGTGGATGCTCACCAACCGCCTGCCTGCGGGTGGCCTGGAGGCTTGTTGCCAGCTAGGAATGAGTGGCCAGGAGATGGGAAGGGAGGCCTGCAGGTAGGTTCGCTTTGCATTCAAAGACAGGAGGAGACTGGTCAGCTCTGGCGCCGGACTGATGCTGTCTCTCCCTTTTGTGAAAGTTGCAACCCTGTTTGTTGCCTGGCTGTTTCCTCCTCCCTTTACCCTGGCCACAGCCCTGACAACGACAAAGCTCAGCTCTGGGGACCAGCGTGATGTGGAGAAAGTGAAACTGCGCGGGCCTTCGGCGCTTTGCCAGGTTGGCTCTTTACTGTACGACTGGGGCTGGAGTGAGCGAGTCGCTTTCATTTCTCCTCATGAAAGTGCGGACTGTAAAGCCGACGCTTGCTCTGGGTCCTTTCCCAGCTGAACCGTTTAGCAACCTACCCTCATAGTGGGAGCCTTCCGCACTTAGCTGAATGAAATCGAAAACCTACGCTTGCACTTCAGCGGGCGCGTGAATAGATGCTTTGTCTGTAAAGAGTTGTTGCTGCACACGGTCTCTGTCTCCCAGAGCCGTGTGTTCGCGCCGATGAGATCAGGACCGGCAGAATCTTATTTTAAAGCCAAAAAAACAAGCTGGGGAGCCTTGCTCCGCAAAATGTGCCTTTTGGGCAAACTCAAATTGCTGAATTTAGAGTGTCTGACTACTGATTTACAGAGATGTTATTGGCTCTTTACCCTTCTAGCTGATAGACTCTTGTTCTAATGTAAAAACAAAACAAAACAGAACGATAAAGAAAATCTTTCACTCACTGTAGCTACCACATGACAAGACAACCTATTGAAAAGCAAACCGATTCAATCACACATTGTTTGGCCTGTGGGGCACCAAGGAACCAGTTTGACAGTTTGTGTCCCCCAGTGAATTGGCTTATTTCATTGGATTCACTGAATTGGCTGGTTGTTGTGGCTTTGTGTGGACACAGTCCTCATTTTGTGCGGCCTAGAACGGAGTTAAAGTTTCTAGTGTGAAGGAAAACCAGCTGGGGAATTGGACTGCTCGCTCCCAGGAGGGTTGCTGCGTCTCTGACAGACAGGCTGAATGGCGTGAAATACGAGCTCTTTGTAACCTGCTCGCGAGAGGCCTGGTGTGTGCTTCAGGGCCGCCGGGCCTACTCAGTGAGCTGTGAGGCCAAAGAAGTACCATGGCCTAAAAGTGGGGGCACTGACTTGACCTTGGAATGTCTGGTTCCTGCAAGAATTTTTATCTCCTAGAAGAAACACTTTTGCTCCAGAGCACATGAGACAATGAGTTCAGCAGGCAGCCTCTTGCACACCAGCCTGGTCCGAGCGGCTTAGGTGTGGCCCTCACATGCAGCTGGTTCACAGGCTCGGGCGGTGGATTTTAAGCATGTACTTACTTGCATTTTGAGTGTTACCAAAGGGAGGCACAAGGTACTAAGGAATTGTGTGGCATGGAATTTCAATCTGACCTAGGCTAGCTGGGAACGCTCCCCAAGAATGTGACGCATAGGCTGAGCCTCACAGGGTGAGGCAGGCCGAGTCGGTGAGGATGGTGGCATCTCAGGGAGGGCTTTCAAGAGGCATCGTAACTCGGAGCTGAAAGAGCTCGCGGTGTTGACAGAGCTGGGGAGACCCCGGCCGTGCGCCCCGCGCGTGGAGAGTCCGGTGCAGTCTGCACCTGTTGAAGGCCTGGTGCGTGCCGGGGCCTCCAGGCAGGTCCTCAGCCAGTTCCCAGCTTTATTTCTTCTCAGAGAGATTAGACACCCTGCCCAGGCTTGCGTCGTTCACTTAGTCGAGGAGCTGCTTTCTGAACCCCGGTCTCCCACTGGCAGTGGGTTTTTAAGAGCCCCCTCTGCCAGGAACATGACCATACGTGGGCCCCCAGCCCAGTCAGCTTGTCCATTTCAGACACAGCACTTGGGTTATCACGTTTAGCCCTTTCCCTACGTGCCCCCGAGAACAGAGTGGGCTCTCTGTCCCTGGCTTCGGGTGGCTGATGATGGGAGGACGGAAAAGGTGTGGAGACACTGAAACAGCAACTGGCTGGAACTTTGAGAAATTGTTTTCGATTGGTGTCACTCGTTTCTCAGTTTATTTTAAGCCCAAAGAACTGCTATAGTGTGTTCAAAAAATAGTCCGTCTTTAACTGTCTGCCTTAGCTTACTGCACACCTGTTTTCTGGAGGAAAAAAAAATTCACAAGAGACAACCCAAATCTGTTTATTAAAGAACAGAGAATCGCTCTGATCTTCATGGCATCTGCTTGTTCACCACCACCCAGGGCTACTGACGTACCTTTGTGGGGACCCTGGTTGTTAAGCTCCAGTCAGAAATCATCTCTGCGTGAATAGAAGAAGGCCTTCCAGTAAGTTTCATCCAGCTTTCGAGTGGAGGCAAGCAGCTAAGGACTGACCGCCCCGCTCTGGGAAGCGAGCGCAGTGACCGTGGGACCAGGCAGGGCGCCTGGAAACAGCAGCCTGGGGAGAGCGCCCCCCCCATCCACCTTCAGTCTGACCAGGCTCCAGGGTTGCCGCAGCTCTGCCGGACTTCACGCCCTCACAGAGCACAGAGCTGCGCTTTGTCGGGGCCTGCGAGGGGGTGACAGGTGCCTTTCCCACTTTGCAGGCAGGCGAAGCCTCGGCGCACCTTTCTGTTTCACCCCTAAACACTGTGCCGGGGGCCAGACGCAGATTCCCGGTGCCCAGTGCAGCGCTGGTGTAAACTGTTGGCTCAGGTTTTGGTTTCCTTTGCCACGTGGTTAGTGTCAAGATTAAGAATGAAGCGTATTTTGAAGGAAGCAGAAGGACAGTGGGCCGCATTCTTCACTGGGAAGTGTCTGGAGGACCAGGTGCGGCTGCGCTGCTTCCTCCGGCCTCACTCGGCGCGCCCAGGACTCAGGCGCCACACGTCACTGGCCTCAGGACCGGGCGTGCTCGGTGCTGGCGTGACTCTCAGAGCCTTTGCTTTTTCATCCGTAAAATGGGCCGAGCACTTCTCAGTGTGGCTGTGCAGCCTCTGCACTGCCAAGCACCTGGCGCAGCCACGCCCGGTTCTGCCCTTCGCCCTTCTGCTCGCGGCCACTCCGCGCCGGGAGGCGCTGCTGTGCACGTCGGCCTGGGGGCGGGCGGGCATCCGCAGAAGAGGGCACGCGTCGGGCTGGGGCTCCTTTCTCCGAGTGCCTCAGGGACTCCCCAGGGGCGACGTGCCGCGGCCCGGGCGCTCAGGCCTCTGGCAGGCCGCGGAAGAGCGGCGTTTCCCTCCGAGACGCGCTGCCCTCAGATCCTGGCATGTTGCTGGTTGTCTCGGCAGTCAGCCCCAGGTCTCGGCACGCACCACAGACCTGATCTCTTGACTGAGAAGCGTTAGAATTACTTGTGCAAGAATTCCCTGCCTAGTTTTGTGGCACCCTGAAGAGTCTTCGGTTATTTCAAGGAGGCATTTTGACGTTCTGTGGGCTAGAGCGCCTTTAAATCTTAGAGATTGAAGGAGGGAAGGAAAGAACACGCATGTCGCCCGCCCACCACCTTGGTGGTGTGAAGCCTCACCTGCCCTTCCGTATCTCCGAGTCAGAGCGCCAACCAGGTGTGGGGTTCCGAGGTGAGAGGGGCGCGCGTGTAGTTGAGCTCCGTCCATAGCAGACCTTGACAGGCCGTGCGGTGGCCAGCCCTCCGCTGAGTATGCTCCCAGCAGGTGAGCCTCCTTTTTAAACAGTTGGGGTTTCCTGCTGGTTTTAATTTCTCCTCCTAGTGCCCAAGCGTGCATCTGTGTCTTCCTCTTACCTCTCCCGGCTCACACATCTGCCTCTTTGCAGCCATACAGACGAGCCTTCTCCCCTATGACAGAGCACCGTAAGCTTTTAAAGTAGCTGCCCCAGGGCTCGGTCTTCCCAGTGCCAGCTCGCGTGCTCCGGAGTTTCACGAGAGGCCTCCGCTACCTTGCGGGGTCCAGAAGTCAGTGCGCCCGTAGTGCCCTTTCTCCGGCTGGTCGCTCTCCCTAGCCTGGGGACTTTGCGATAGGCGGGAACCCTGGCGGTTACGAGCACAGGCCTTATAAGCAGACCTGACTTGGGTGAATTACTGAAGTTTTCGGGGACCAGCCTCTCCATCTGTAACACAGGGATCTTTATACCCTCACTCACGGATCTGTTGTCAATCTGGAGTAAGATAATACAGGTAAAGAATTTAAACAAGGGTACATGGTACATAGTAATCCAGTTGTTGGAGTCTATAAATTTTCTAGCCTAGGTTGTTAGAACATACCTCATCATTTGTTCTGGTATTGCAGGGTGAAAGAAGTACAAGGTTACAATTTGTCGTCTGTGTATTAGAACTCTGGTTCGAAGGCTTCATGGTGACTAGAAGGAACTTTTTTTGCAGCTTCTCTTCAAGTGTCCTCTTCCTTAACAGCAGATTATTTGGAAGCCTCAGATTTATTGAAGAACAGTGCTAACAGTTGTGTTAGTTTTGATAGGCAGATTCTACAGGACTGAGATTGCTACAAAGGGAGAGAGTTCTTAAATCCAGACAGTGGACTTAGTGTGGTCGTGGAGGCGCTCAGCAAGAACAAACATTACTGGGTGATTGCTGCGTACCCCACTCCTGCCACTTCCCCTCCACGCGCCACCCTCCCCAGCACCTTGTGAGTGAGGGTGCCCGCCAGCCGCTGCCACTTGGCTAATCACTAAACTTCCAGTCGGGACTCAACCCAAGCCTGTCAGATTTCAGAGCCTAAGTTCTTTATGTTGTGCTTAGTGTAAGTAGAAGCTGCTGCGGAGACTGGCTAAACTGTTTCCTTAAAGACTGTGCACGTATTGCTAACCTGCCTGTCCTTGCTGCTTGGTAAAAAGCCTCCGTCAGAGCCTGTTGCCCCAGCAGTCCCTGTGGGAGGAGCCCCGCACCCGCTGGCCCTAGCGTAGATCATGCACTTTTCAGGGGCAGTGGGTGGAGAGGGTGGCAGGGTGGGGACAGGCACTGTGGCGGGCATAGGGCTTCCTGGAGCCGGGTCGCTCGCGCCACATCACGCCTGGATCCCGAGCCAGCCTACGGGCCGCACAAACACCAGCACCGAAGTGGGCCTGCTCCTTCCCCATATACACCATGCTCCAGCCGGGTGGGTTGTGTGCGTGTGATGTGTTTGCACGGGAAGTCCTCAGAGAATCTCAGACTAAACAGGATGTGATTTGTTCCCCCATGCACGGGTACCAGAAGGACGGGCTGGCAGGTTGGGAGCGATGATGGTCGACCTGTGACCCGGCGGCTGGTTACTTGACTCTTCACTGGGTTTTATGCAAAGCTTCTGAATACTTTTACCTTTATGAGCTGAGCTGTTTTTGAGTAAATCTGCCCTGTGTGCTGGTCCGTTAACTCCAGCACATCGCCGAGTCTGTTTATCTTGACCCTACTCAGTCACCTTCTTCTTTAGTTTTAACAAAAGGCCAAAGTTCAGGTGCATCTCTGTGACTGTAGGGTAAGGGTGCTGACCTTTGTGTAGTATGTTTGCCCTGTGTGAGCTTCAAAGTTTAAGGGTTGAACCCTTTTGGAGCAGAACAGGTTTTTGTTCTGAGGGTAGGCCTGGAATACAAACAGGCCCGCCTGGCCTTGAACCCCAACACTGTCGCTGATTAGCCCCGTCGTTGAGGCTCATGGGACAGCTTTCTTTAGTAACGTAGAACATGGTGAGGTTTAAAAGAAGTGATATTTGGGGCTTGCTTGGTGCATAGTAAGCTCTGGGCGGTTCTTGCTGCTGCTGCTCTTCCTGCTACCCCATGAGGAGGGTAATGGCTGGGAAAGAAAAGAATTCTCTTCTTCGTTGTTTTAGATTGTCGGCTTTAGCCTTCCTGACATGGAAACTGCTGGACGCTAATCCCAGACTAGGGCGCTGAAGACAGTTCGCACTTGGGGCTTTCAGCCCTGGCTGGCTATCTTTTCTGGAAAGAGGAAATTATTCACTTTTGATTCCATCTTTTATCTCTCTCAAGATTTTCGCCATCTTTGAATGTTTAACATCTATTATCTCTACGGGATGTTTGAAAAACTTCCTGTGTACTCATGTGCGTCTCTGATAAAGGATGTGGCCAGTCATCTTATTGTTGTTGAATAAACATGACTTGCTTCTTATAAACACCTTTGTTCTCATAACACTGTCAAGGTGTGACTCTGTGGCTCCTCGCAGGATATTTGGAGGCTGGAAAATACAGAATTAGTGACGTGAACAAATGGGTCTCTCTATCCTGCTTGGAGTCTTTCCAGCAGCTTCACGCCATTGTCGTCGCCTCTGGAAGCTTTGCCATACTTCAGGTGCCTGTTGACACTCATGTTGTCTTTGTGCTTTCTCTTCTTTTTCCTGGACAGAAACCAAAGCCCAAACCCCGGCCATCCATTACAAAGGCAACCTGGGAGAGTAACTATTTTGGGGTGCCCTTAACGACCGTGGTGACTCCGGAGAAGCCAATCCCTATTTTTATTGAGAGATGTATTGAGTACATCGAAGCCACAGGTAAGAGCGTTAACCTCTTAGCCAACAGCAGTTTTCACTGTCTACAGGATGCTTCTAGTGGGCCAAGCCATCTGGAAATTCTGGAATCGGCTCTCGTCTGGTGTGAGATGCCTTCTGAGAAGGAGCTGAGTGGCCCTGTCAGCTGTCAAACTCCTGGATTTCCCCGTCTTCATGCAGTCCTCTGCTGCCGTGCAGGGTCTGTGAGCTGTCTTGGGGCCACAGCTCCCGCCGTAGCTTGCAGCCTGGTCATCTGTGTCCACTTTAGGCCTGTCAGCAAGTTGAGGGCAGGGAGAGGGCTTTATGTGTAGCACTGTCCTCAGCACCCTACTGGACACGAGCTGTGATACGGGAGTGAGTTGTCGGGAGTGTCTCAGCCCTAGGCTATTACAGGGTCTCAGAATCACACGTTGACAGCATTTTCCTCCCAGAAATAAAGAACAACTAGGGTGTTTGGATACCTTCTGTCACACAGCTGAATTTCAACCCCACTGATAATTTGGTGCTATTACAAGCGCAGACTGCCTGACAATTTTAAGATAGTTGCCCTTCAGGTCATGAGATTTGACTTATGTTTGAAACATTTTTTCACTCACGTAGCATTTCCTAAGTGTCTCTTTGGTCTGTCTTTTGAAACCCTTGAAACTTGCGGTTTAATCTGAGCTGTTTTTTGACATGAACTTCGGCTTTCTCCTGGATGCTTTCAAAGTTGGTGAGCTTTGAGCAGAAAGTGGCATAGCAGGTACCTCGGTCTAGGGCCTTGAGCGTGGCTGAGCTCAGGATACTGGCTTAAAATCAGTTTGAAGCCAAGGTAGAGATTACAGCCTTCCTATGCGTTCTTCCTGATTCTGGCATCACCTGTAAAATACTAAGTGTTTGAGGCACGACCCTTGATAACATCAACAGCTCCACATTCTGCTGCAGGCTGATGCTACTCCGTACTCTGGACACGGGAGACCGTTATGCTAGGGAAACTGACCTCAGCTAGGGCTGCCGGCCCGCTGAGCCTTGAGTTCTTCCAGGGTTCCCCGTGGCACACCAGGGTGGGCCTCACTCCGAGCGCGTGGTGTGGCCACGGCAGACCTGTAGTTTATTCAGTCCATATAGGACCCAAGGCCTTTTTCCCAGTGTCCATCTGGCTTTGAGACTGGTTTACTTAGTTTCTTCCTGGTATCTCTCCCTTCCACGGGAGGAAATCTACACAAAGCAAATTCTAGGTGGTGAAGCCTTTCCTTTTTGACCAACACTGCAGAGAGCTCCTGTCCTACTTTTAGGAAGGTTGGAGGGGATCCTTAATGTTATACTTTGTAACGATCACAGATCTTGAGGAAAATTGCAAAAGTTATAAATTGTAACATGTTGAAAGTTACAAAATTCCCAGGCTCCCTAAATTTTAACATTTTATCAGATTTCCTTTATTGTTTTTTTCCTATATGTTGTATCTTTTTTGCTGAAATGTGGTAGAATTGCAGATCGGGTATATCTTTTTTTTTTTTTCTTTATGCATACAAGAACTGGGGTACAGACCAGAGGTGCGGAGGTGGGGGAGAGTGAGAGGATTCACCAGAGACACAGTGGGTTATTGTCTGAAAGGAGTATTGTCTGAAATACACTGCTGAGGGGAGCAGCAGGGAGACAAGAGAGATCTGCTGCGCCTTTGGATCACTCCCTGGCTGGGGAATTGAACACACACTGCAGTGACTGAGGAGAGCTTCATAGTGCTATGCTTTAACCCCTTGTGACACCAGGGAGGGTCCAGATGTATTTTTATTTTTAAATACTTACATCAGGATTTCTTGAAAACAAAACGTCCATGTTAACTATCAATGTGAGGATGTTGTCATTTTCCAGTGGATTAACATTATCCAGTGAGAACCCAGGGATAGACTTTCATTTCGTCAGTTGTCTCATTGACATCCTTTATAACAAAAGACAGATTTTTTTTTGATCAGGGTCTCATCCCAGACCACACATTACATTTAGTTGTCAAAATGGTTCAGTCTTTGCTTTTCATCATCTTGACTGTTTCAGAGAGTAGTTTAGAGTTCAGTTAATTTGTAAGTGGTTCCCTGACTTGGGTTTTTGTTTTAACGTTGCCTGTCCAGGTTCAGGTTCACGCTGTCGGCACAAGCAGTGTCTTTCCTCTGGGCGGCCTGCTCTGGGGTCTTGAGGTCACGAAGCATCTGTGTAAGGTGCTTTGACACCATGTGTCTGCTTCTCTTACTACCCCCATGCTGTGGGCATTACAAAGGGTCACATTGTTTCTCACTTGGAGTCCTGCACTGACGAGGTGGCCTTCCCCAGTCGGGACGGCCTCCCCAGGGGCTCCTGGCAGCGCGGGGCTGGTGTGGCACCGCTAGCTGAGTGCCTCACCTACCGCGCCCACCTGCCTCCTCTCCTGGGACTGTGGGGAACGCTTTTTACGTCCAGGGACAAACGGCAGCTTCCCGGTGTTTGTCTGGGAGCCCTCTGAGGTAGAGCTTCTTGCGCCCCGGCCCCAGCCCACCGCCAAGCCCCTGCCCTCTCGAGGCGCTGCTGGACGCGCACGCCCACCCGCCTCGCCCATGTTGCCAGAGGCCTGGTGCTCTGGGCTCCCTGCTCGGCCACTTCTGCTTTGTCATTGCTTGGCTCTGGTCCCCACTTCGTTTCCACTCCTCCCCCACCCTCCCACCCACCAGCCTTCTCCTCAGGCCCCTCTGACCAGGGGCAGCTCCTCTGCCCAAACTTCCTCGTGCCTGACTGACTGGAGGCCGCAGCTCTCTCCACGCACAGTGCTGCCGGTCAGGGTGGCCGGCCTCCGCGCTCCTCTTTCCCCCCTTCCCTTCAATCTTTCTTTTCTCTTCCTCTCTTTATGCTTTATATGCTGCAATTTTTGTTTTAAAATTGTTTTTTAGGAGTACAAGCAGCAAGGAGAGGCGTGTAGGCAAGCATTTTCTTTATATTTTGTGCCTGCTTTGGCCCTCTGGCTTGGAAGAGCGTCCGGCCTGCTCCTGCGGCTTGAGCGCCTACCTCAAGGCCCCACCCTGGGGTGCTTCGCAGACACCAGCCTCCTGAGGGGATGGTGGTCTGGTTCCCCATAGTTAGGGCACAGGACGCTGACTACTGTTGAGTGAGTGCTTTTCCGTCTGGGGTACCTTGAACTGTTCCCCCTTTAACGCTCCATCACGTACTCCTCCGTGACGTTTATGCTTGAATAGAACTTTCGGAAAAAGGTAACTTGTGACCTGTGCACTAAGGATATGTACTTGGGGGACTGTCTTTATAGAATTTTTTTCCCAATTATTTTCCTTCATCTTTATAAAAAGTACATGATTAACAGGTAAAACTGGCAAAGATTTTAAAGATTCATTGTTCTTCGTTTGGTGAAACCAGTTAATGGTGTGATTTTATTTTAAATAATATAAGTTTATTTTTACATCATTTTGTACATTTTTTTAATCTCAGTTGTAATCCCTGTGGGTTTCCCATCACCAAGTCACCCGTGTGCCATCACCATAGTCCCATGCACGTCCCATCCCTCCTTCGCCGTTCCCCCCCCCCCCCCGTTTTTGATCCCATTCCCCACTCCACCCCCACAAAATGTCTCTGGTATATGGCTGTTAATGGTGTGATTTTTTTTTTTATGTGTAAGCTCCTTACAGTCTCACTGCTCCACAGACGTGCACAGGCCTTTATGTCCATAGCTCAGAGTGTGTCGTGTGGCCGCTTCTGAGCACAGCGTCTTTCTTAGAGCCCTGCTTACTCCCGTCTTCCTGCAGACCGAGATTCTGTGACTGAGGCTTGGATCAGATGGTCATTTTTGGAGAATCGCTTCTTTCCAGATGAGACTGTTTTGTGAGCGTGTTCCTAGCGTTAAGTGCTCAGACAGCTTGGCTGTACTTGCCACCTGACGTCCCATGAGTGCTTTTGTCACCGACTGTTTCACATCCCCCTTGTTACAGCATGTTCTCCTGGCGTACGTAAGGGAAGGGCATTTTGCAGCAGTGATAGAGAACCTGAGAGCTGCAGTCAGGCGAGCATTAGGCTCTGCCTGTTCGTGCTCACCTGCTGAAGGAGGGTGACTGGCAGGTTGTCCTCTGGTGCCTCTGCGCACCCCGGGTCCCTTGCGCGGGATGGGGGAGGCACCTGCCCATTCCTGGCACCGGGGCACCCTCTTGCAGCGTCCACATTGCTCTGCCCACAGGACATTTGCCTTCCTCTGGTGAGTCAGTCTTGACCTTTAAAAGTAAGTAGTTATGACTTCTTTTCTCCCCAGCTTTTCAAGCTGAAAAGTGTTAAGACCCACTGAAAAGTTGGACGAGCAGGCAGTGATTAATGTCTGCTACATAGGCCCTTTCTGGCCCTAATTTTATGGCCGTTAAACCATCGGAAAGCACGCCGCCGGGCCGACGCTTAGCTCCTTGACATTCTCAGCCTCTCGCCCGTGTCAGGACTTTCTCCCCGACGGCTGCAGCGCGCTCCCCAGAGGAATGAGCAGCCGTCCCGTGGTCAGCACCAGTGTACTCGTTTGCCCTAAAATCATCTCTTACCACTTTTTTTGTGCTAGGACCCAGTTGGTACTCACAGTGCATTTTGCTGCTCAGAGTTTTTTGAAGAGTAGCCAGTGTCTTGCAGAGTTCCCCTTGTGTGATGTGTGCACGAGCGCCATCGCCGTCAGCCCTCTGACGGCACCCCCCCCCCTCATCGCGGGCTCTCGGCCAAGCCAGAGGGTGGGGCCGGGCAGCCACCTCCCTCCCTGGCACACGGGGGTGTATTGGGCACCGCTGAATGATTAGGTCTGTCCCCACTTGGACCACTGTCCCAAGCTTCACTTTCCTCAGGGAAAGTTCCAGCACCACCTGACCGCCCATCACATCTCCCTCGCCTGCTCGTGGTGGAAGTTGCCGTGTGGCCCAGCTTCCTCGTTGTGGTCTGGGCAGTCGCTGCCAGCCTGTCGGAGTGGCCCACCAGGCGGCTCAGTGGTCAGCACGTCCTCTTGCTGTGTTCGTGCCCGCACGTGGGAT